AAGTATCATTACGGAGTAATTTTGTAATAAACAACGATTTACATAATTGTCACTGGTGTATTTTAAAATTAAAATAGGATGATGTACTAGATTTCACAATAATATTAATTATTGGTTAGCGTAATTTACTATTATACAAAGCAATCAGAACATTTTCTGAAATTCGTTAATTAACTATTTGTTGATCCCAAAACTCTTCAGATAATGATGTAGTCCAGAATAAATGGTAGTTTATTTTATTCAGTTAGCTATCCAGATTGAGAATTCATCTTGTAAACGATGCTAATAATAACTTATTGATTTTCTGTTTTAATTAAAACAGAGGGCTATTGTTTTAGCACCCTGTTCTTTGAGTTTTAAAATCTAACCGTTACTAAGGAATGATGGCTTAGCTGTTCAAAAACTAGACATGTAAACATTAACTTACTCCTTCGAACTTGTAAATATTTTGTTCAGTTTAGACAGCCGTTAAGCACAAAACATATGACTGGAAATGGGATGCATCTTTATCTATTAAGTTGCTGAGTTGCGTAAATCTACATATAAAGCTATGTTTACATCATTTAAAGCTGAAATAGTAGAAATATTTGTGGTTACATCGATTATTTTGTTTTAACCGAATATTTTTGTTGATTAGTCTCAAATTTATCGAAATTGTTTTGAAATATCCCAAGCTAAATAAATACTTTTTTAGTTGCTGCAAATTCACAGAAAGTAAACTATCTTAAATGAAAATACAATATGGTCCACTCATTACTGTTTATATACAAGAAAGTATTATACAGAATGAGCTATAACTTAGTGGTTGAAAGGTTAGACTTTCAGCCAGTAAATTTCAGGTTTGAATCTTGTTCCACTTACTCCACTTTAGGTAGCCAGGTAGTATCATAAACTTTATACCTCAACTGAAGCTCATATGCGAACATTTGGTAGATGAGTTATTATTATTATCATTAATATTATAGATAAAATGGTCATTCATTTAGGGAAAGTATGAATGTACTCTTTCACAATATCCTCTTCTAAAACAAATTTATAGAAGGTAAAATAAGCAACTGTTATTTCATTAATCTGTCAATTTTTCGTTAATACTCCTCTTCGAAACTTAATAATTTTTAAGTTTATTAATTATACACTTATCATTCATTATAGTTACTAGTCAGCTAGCTTGTTAAATAACATCTATTATAAGATAATTGACATTCTTATGCATTTATAATCATGTTACATCGATATTAAAATGTTTCAAAAAATGAGTGCAATCTTCACATAATTTGTATTTTCTTGTCTATCATTTAAATGACGATTCGTGTTATATATATATAGTGAGTAATTACACTACTTAAGTGATGTCTTAATTATAGTACTGGTTATGATCCAATCAAATCAATAAATGCAGGTAACACACATTTGATTAATGAATTCAACGATTACAATCATTAGAATATGATGCAATCATTCCATTTACATAATTTCAAATGTGAGAATTTGTTGTAAATTGGCAGCATGAGTTTTGTAAATTAAGTAACAAAGTTTGATCCATAATTGTGATAAAGTTGATAAATAATATTTATGTCTTATGAGTATAAAGTATACTAATTGACTGTTTAGTAGTCGTTTATATTTTATTGTTATGACTGTGAAAAATAAATGCTGCTGATTGAGGGTAGCGAATTATTGATCGGACCAAAGACGCGCAAACACGTAGAACGACCTAGGGTTCTGATTGGTCTCGCTTCCCTGTCTAGCCCAGCCAGATGAGTCCAGAACGCAAGTCACAGCCTCGGATATATGAATCATTATATTTCAAACATACTTTGTTTATATACCAATCAAGCAGACCACAACGTACCATAAAATAGAAAATAACATTGTACAATAATGGCCAGTAGGAAAATGACACGTTAAATAAATATTGACCAATAAGATGATACCATTTCATGTCCAAGGATAGCATTAGGCTTAACAGGATAATTTTGGGATATTTTCCTGAATATCCCAACATATATCCTAACGGAAATCCTGGAATTCAGTTGCAATGTACCCACTAGTTTAAATGATCTACCATCACGTATACAGAAAGGATCGATTGGAACATAGTTTTTTTAGTGTAATCTATAATATGTAAACTTCCGTTTATTTGAAATTGATATTCATAGCTCTATCTGTTTATTGATCAGTTGATGTTAAAATTCTGATCATGGAGATAATGAAAAAGGTAGATATCATTTATAACACTATGCAAAAATTCAGTTAGCTTTAGTGGCCTGATAAAAATACTTAACTTCTTTCACAAAATTATTATTATCATTAGCATAAATGAATGGAAACACTAATTATTTCAAAGGTAACTAATATTGAGTATACACACAAATCAACTACAATTACATTTTTGTAATTCAACATCTTTTGTGATGGCACAATAGTTAAGCTTAGTAAGAAATATTCCAGATTACGCTGAAAGATTATAGGATCTCGTGAAATAAAACAGTTTCACATGCTAAAACGTTCAAGTATCTAAAAATAAATATAACTAGAAACAAAAGAGTTTTCATTCAAATTGATGTAAAAGTAACGTAAACAAGTAATCAATCGTTTTCCAGGAGTTTTGTATTTATTTACAAACAATGCTGTTCGAAATCATAAATTATATTACCAGCTGGAATGTTCAGAAAAAGCTTTAACATATTGTTGTTCTTCTCTTAGAAAGAAATTTCCCAACGAACTGTTATTGCTTATTTCGTAGATTCATTCATTGTACTCTAACTGGGTTCTGAAAGTTTTACATTGCAATTTCTATTGTTGTTATAAGTTTATACACTCAAAATTTTTTTTAGAAAAATAGAAGAAATACCTACCTGACATTCTCTGTTTTTTTTTTAATAGTCTCTTATCTGACATAAATTTTTTGTGTTATAATTATTTTTAATTGATACAGAATTTATATGCACTCACCTAGATACGTACATTTATTCCAATGAGATGATAAAATATAGGCAGCTAATTATTTTAAAAAAATTAGTTGTTGAATGCAATGTCTTGTTGAATAATTGGTGATTGATATTAAGTAGTTTTAATCAATAATATACTTTTAGACTTTTGATTATAGTTTGTTTTATAACAGCAGATTATATGGGTGTTTATCACAAGTAGTATGATAAACTCAATTGGTATTATTTACTTGGATATTCCCATTGATGTTTAGGACTTCAATTGATCGGTCTCTTATTGATAATATTGAGGCAATACGCACAGTATGCATATATTGTCAATAAGAGACTGATCAATTGAAGTCCTAAACATCAATCGGATGATACAAGTAAACAGTATCAAGTAAATTTAAACTTTACCACATTGCATAAACAAGTGGCTATCAGGAATCGGTAGCTAATTGGATGACGCGATGATGTTTGAAGTGAACGGTACTGGTTTCGATTCTCAGAGTGAACATCAACTCTAAGATGCAGTTGCATCCAACTAACGAGTCTCAAATAGGACGAAACATGTGTTCTAGATTTCATTGCTAGCCACTATCCATCATTGCTTAGTATAATAAGCTATTTTAGACTTTGTTAAACATAATTAAAGAACATTTATATTGTGTACCTAAATCTATTTTTTTCTAAAAATACTTGTGTTATGGAAATGTCAAACACATACTAGAATAAAAAAGCAATCATAAGAATATGAAGCCGTGTTTCTCACTTGTAAAAACTAACAATTCATATTTCATGTCAAATTCATTTGTGTCAGCCCTTTTATACAAATGTCGGACCTTTATTTTGACTACAAAACATATCAACCGGCTAAATATTCCGGCAACTATATATATATGTCAAATTTTCCTTTATTTGCCTCGATTAGTTTTTGTTTCACAATAATCATTAATGCATTCTTATTTCCTCTGATTGCGAAATCTGGTTCAATTTGTTTATCATAGAAATAATACTAAATGTTAACCAATATATACAAGAATAAGATACTTTTTTTCTATAATCATCAAATAAAATCACCACAAAATTAATTATAGCGTGACAAATATCTCATTTAAAACATACCTATAAACCATCATCTTTATGAATTATTTCTTTTTATTTGACTTTGCCAATCTATCACCATAGAAACGTTTTATCAAATGTACACAATATTTATTCATTTGTTACAACAATTTTCTGTTTATTATTTGAATTTTATCTTTTTAAAAATCAGTGCGTATTTCTTGGCTGTCAGTTTAGTATCACTAAGTTGATATCTGCTATTGTGATTACTACCTTGTTCAATGCTGAATCATTCTATATTTTTGAGTAATATGTTTGATATAATTTATTGGTTTGTTGTATCCTCCCGTAATATATATCATAGCCTAATTAGTTCGCTGAGATAATAAACCTTTAATTGATGTAGCACGAGTCCGAAGTTAGCTCTTTCATTGTTGTATGATAGATATACATACTCATAGTTAAGTAGATGGTTGTGTGTATTGGTTACTTTTTTATTATTTTTATTGTAATCATTAATGATCTGAATTGAGTAACCATTCACAGAATCGGTATTCTTTTCATTAGTCAGGATAATCCTTACTTATTTTCACAATCAATGACAATTACTCAGAGATTCTCAAATTTCACTGTATTATCTAAGTAAAACTATATTGTTTCTATTTATACGTTTGACTGAGTGAGAAAGAGTGGAAAAGGAGAGTTCTTCATGAAATGGGAAACACTCATTGCAGTACACTTAAGGTATAGATATAATGTTGTTGATTATTAGACTCACTTAACAAAACAAGTTGTACAGTAGAATTTTAGGTGTTATAATCTTTACCGTAGACTGTTTAACATGTCAATGAAGATATAGTTTCATACGCTAACGATTTATATGTGGCGAATATTACCCGTGCTAGACAAGCACGGGTACAATGTTTTTGGTGTTTTTTTATCAATCATCTATCTCCGTTATTCAGAATCTACATTAAACTTCATATTCATTAATTATAATAGGGTTTGGAAAAAGCGACAAATCCCAACCCCGGAAATTTCAACCCTCCTAAAACTACAGACAGATCGTCTACACATGCTCACGTCAATCAAATTTTCCTTAATCAACCTCCAAGTCCCAGTCTCCCAACATCATCAATAACCACATCTCAATCGCATTTGCACTCACCATCAACAGCATATTGGCCAGGAAATTCTTTCAGTCCATCATCACCTAATCATAGTTTACACGCTTCACAAAAAACAAATTATCCGCTCTCATCATCTTCAGTAAATGATAATAGTAATAACTTTAATGCAAACAATTTGTTATCATATGCTACAAAACCTCCTGCTTCTAATTGTTCATCAACACGTCTGTTGAATGGAAGTAATGGCAAAAGTCAACTACCAGTTCACAAACAGATATCCACTAAATCATCCAATCACGTGTCTTTCAACCTACACAATTCTCAAGGTGAGTTTTTTGTTCTAAAAATGGCAATACAATATTTTCTACCAGTTACTGTATCACATGTGTCTTTTTTGCATATCGATGTTAATTATTACAAAGACAATGAGTTTTTATTTCATTAACTACTAACCATCAGTTGCTTTGATAATATCGGCTGAACATGCCTATCATATTTTGAAGTCGATTTTTTAAAATTGATCATATTAGTGTTACGTATTATAGCTTCACACATGTATAATTAAACTGGTTGTTTTCATTGCCTTAAGTATTCAACAAGTTCATCAAGTCAAGGACTTAAGGCAGATTTTCTCGTCGTTGGGTGAGTTAGTGACGTATTATCATCATAGCTACATATTGTTTTGATCTCTTGTAATTACTCTCTTCATGTTAATCTCGTTTCTGAAACGTTATTTACAGAAATCTAAAGAAAATGACGGAAAAATATTGATCATGATCTGAAGGATGAATCAATAAGTTTTCAATCGTCTAGTCAAGAACAATAAACTGATCAATTTCATAGACATTGCTTATGGTTAGATAGGCATTAGTGTAGATTTGATTTGATTAATAAATGTTATATACTCTTTGATAATTTAGATTATTAGCCTCAAGAAATCAAAACAAGTTTGTTAGACGAAAAATCGAAATTATTTACATTTCAATCACTGAATTTACTTCAAATATTATTTCCACAAATACTGCATGCTACCTTCTAATCCACAATATATTTGATTAGAAATTGATACTTCTTCATGAAAGGAGGTTAGGTATAAATTTACGACGGGATCTAAGATATTTGAGAAAGCTGTCTAGCTTTAAATGTATTCGGAACCATTTACCCATGAGACTACAACGACTATAATGTGAATGAGGTTCAAAATGGATAATAGCTCGTAAATTTCTAATCCAAACCTTATGATTTGATAAAGCAGTTAAATATAATTTGTTTCAGAAAGTTAAAATTATGGCACAAAATAGTCCTTCTAATCAAGTATGGAATTATTTTTGAACGTAAACTGTCAGGAATCTGATCTCCGATTATTCAAGATCCGTATAGTTTTGTGTGGCAGCACTTATCAAGTTGCCAGTATCTGTAAACCATTTCTCCTCTCACAGGTTTGTGTATCTCTTTTTTAATAGTTTAATTCATGAGTCTATCAAAGCTAGGCCACCACTGAAAACCTAGAAGCATTGAATGAACTTTTCATCTTAGTGACTAGTTTCAAAATGAATTTCCTTGAGAAGCCGTGACCAGTGCAATCCAATCCATGTCGGGTATGAAGCAGTTATCCATTTCAAACAGTGGATGAAGGTTTGCACAAGATCATGGATCGATTGAAGTTAGACATTAGCACCGTTGGATGCTAGCTCGGTAGTCTAGAAGTTAAGAATTCGCACGTGAGCCCGAAGGTTACTGGTTCGAGTCCCGTGTGTGGGATCGTGGATACACACTGCTGAGGACTCCCATATTAGGATGAAATGGCCGTTCAATTTATCCAGGTTTTCAGTGATTGTCTAGCTTAACTCGATTCATGAACTCAACTGTTAAAATTACTACTTTCTCCATAAATACCAATCATGATAATATCTCTTTTTTAACGTCATCAACTTATTAGCACTATTAATTTCGCGATGTGTAAACACATCGTCCGAATAAATATTAACACATGTGTAATTTACATCAACAATTTATAGTCAATCTCATACCTGTTCAACTTAATCTTTTATGGTGTGTAAACGGATATTACAAATCGATTGTTTACAAAGTATCTTATGATACTTGTAGAAAGATAATATTATTGTTATGATTATTTTTTCTTTTATAAGTGTCATAATAATTTCAGATCATGCTGTTCCAAAAGGATACAATAATAGTTACATTTGTCTGCTTCCTCTCTCTCTCTCTCTCTCTCTCTCTCTCTATATATATATATATATATATATATATATATATATATATATATATATATATATATATATCGAGGCAATCCGCACAGGATGCCCATATGCCAACAAGAGAGTGATCAATCGCAGTCTGAAATAACAATGGGAAGATACAAGTAAAACAACGAGTAAATATATATATATATATATAAATGTATCCAGCTGAGTGTATAAAACCTAAGTTATTGTTATCTATCTGCACAACTTTCAATAATAAGCGCGTTTCTGTCTTTCAACTTACTTATATTCTCCTAAAAAATTTATTTGTTTAAAATTCTTCAAAAACCCTAATAACAAATGAATAAATATCCCATTGTAAATTGTTCGAAATATATTAGATAATATTCTTTGGGATTGGTTATTCCACAGGTCTTAATTTTAAGGCTTTCACAGTAGTAACATGATGATCTATTTAGACTAGAATTAAAAAGAATTAAGATCATTTCTTTAAAGTAGTGAGTTTGTGAAGGTCAATCATTCAGATGTAAAATCTCACCTCCAACTGACACCAGTCAATGAAAACTAAACAGATCTATCCTAGCTTTAAACTACTCTGTGATAAACTTTACTTGTTATCCTGCAATGTATTTGGATTTGGTGAATAACCTTGGTTTTCGATTCCTTCTTCAGTCATCACTCTCTTTTCCATGGAATTTTACGGTGAGAAGTGAATATTTTTGCAGCTCTGCTTATGATAAAGGATCAATTTAAGCCTAAATTCAATAGCCAGTTCGTATATTATCATAACCTTTGGTTAAGAAGTGAACGTATTTAAATTTATACAAGTGATCAGAAAGTGTTAAGCATTTTACTTGATCGATTTGGTTTTTATATTTGATATGAAATATTATTGTTCTCCTAAGTACATGTTCAACCGACAGTTGTAAAAAACAGTTTGGATTTCGGTAGATAGTTCTTAAGAATTTCAAACTACTAAACAGTATCCTTTTGGTAAACACTATTTTAAAACAAAATATTTACACTTTGTACACTCGTGAAAACAATTCTTAATTAGTAAAATCTATCTCACTGACTTAGGTATAAAACATATTGTATAGTTTAGACGGAAAGTAACAAACCATTGAGTTAATACGGTATACTGGAATTGCTATTAAACTAATTAGCGGTATAGCACTATATGCTTTATTAGGTATAACAACTCACGAATCTTACTTAAGTTTCACTACCAACGTTTATGTTTAAGAAGTTTGTAAACAGGTCATTGTGAATGTTATATTTGATTAGTTCTAAAATATTACCTCATTTTTATCGTAAACTGTATTCAACATTTAAGTGTGACGTAATAATAAGCCGATAAGTTAACAAGAAAATATAACCTACAAATTGAGTTTTTATCTTAACTTGGTGTCATTTTTAGTTGTATCCTCCCATTGCTATTTAGGACCGCAATTGATCAGTCTCGTGTAGGCATGTTTGTAGGTACATCCAGCTGACGAGTCCCAAATAGAACGAGACGCTCGTCCTGGATTCCACTGTTAGCCACTATCAATCTTTGAGTTTTTTAACCTTTTGAAAAAAAATATTTATGTCTCTTACTTCTCTTTTTTGGCCACATTTTTTCTTAATTTTGTTATTAATCCATTTGTTTAAAATTTTGCTTTAGAGAAAAAAATACTACAAATCGTTGCCTAGACAATTCTGAATAAAATGGAGACGATTCAAATTTATTGATTTTATTTTTGGTAAAACTTTAATTATCAGAAAAATTAACACAACTAACAGTTTCAATGATTCTTTATGTCTATCATATACTTCCATAGGTCTACCTATTGTCTGGGTTTTCTATTAAGTCGCACATCAAACTAAACATTGTATCAAATAGAAAACAATTCCCTTTGAATAAAGGGATTCTTTAGTGATTTTATTATTTATGGTTTTGTTTAAATGAATTGTGAAAATATAAAACAAAAAGTATGAAAATGACTTGTCTGTACATTGTAACTTCTTAGGATTGACTGATTGAAATGTGGATAATGACAAGGTCTTTCATTTCACCTGTATAGTCAATCCATGGATAATTTATAACTCATCAACTTAAGTTATGTCTTGTTTCAAGTTTTCATTCGAATTCGAACGGATTAAATGTTATACTTCGAAGTGAATGAAAAATGAGAATTATTCCTGAATTAAATTTTTTTTAAAAGATTATATCCACTGTCAACGTAACGGAAATCATACGGATTTTGTGTGAAAGTCTGTTTAATTTATCAAATGATTCAGTTTAGGTAACGCAATACAAAATGTTATCATTCTGAACTATAAACATTTTTATTCTGATTGTAGTTTCAATAAGGCCATCCTAGAAGTGTATCATATGAGGAATATCATAGGAACTCTTCAATAATTGTAAACATCTTACTACATAGTTTGTTTCAGAACCTCAGTTTACTCCTTTCTTTGAACATCCAGAATAATTTGTAATAATCTCTAACTATGATCACTAAGCTCTAGTATTTACAAATTTCATCTGTCAGGAGTATGTAAATTTACCTTACATTTGGTAATCTATTTAAGATTAGTAGGAAATTTTCACCATAACAGTCATATTAGTATTATTAACATCCGAGTTTGAAAAATTAACTTTCTTAAATATCTCATTTTCTCATTATTAAACCATCCCATCAAAAACTATACATTTGATCTATTACCAGGTAATTTATTTACCAGGTTATCTGTGTTCTCACATTTTTTGATCGGGAAAAAACGCATGTATTCATATATTTTTGTATTATTTTGATTGATAAACTTTTCCATAGAAGTTCATGGATGAATTCATTCTTTGTATCGTGTTACTTTTAAAGAATATTGTCCTATAAACTATTAATTCAGTTACGTATTTATCATTTATTATTACAGGATCTTCCCAATTTGTAGTTGATAAGCTTAAAGCGGAAAAAATATTCCCAAACTATTAGATATCAGGTGAATTATTGAAAAATCTAGGTTTTGTAATCAAAATTACATAATTTATTTATTGAATAAGAAACCCGGCGAAATATGGACGCCAACATAGGCGTCATATTTAAATAAGAAAACAT